GAAAAAGAAAACTAAAGAGTAAGATAAGTTCTAAAAATTATAAAACAACTTTGTGTGCAATTTAGAAGGTTAGGTAAAATGGTAAATTGTCTAAACCAATGCATTATGTGTATTTGTCTGGGAAGAATTAGAGATGTGGAATTAAAATTATCCTCACATATTTTTATACCATGTCACACATACTGTTTGCTCTCTTAACACACCCGTACAAAACCATGATGAGAAGGTAGTTTTTCAAAGTTACGCAAATAGTCGAACAACAGATGATTCTCATTTTATCAGGCTATTCTATGGGAAGGAGGACAGGGACACTTATCAGCTCATTTTGACTATTGTTGGGGTGTGGTGTAGGATTAGCATTACTACGTCTATAATGTGGATACAAAACTTGGTCAAAGCTCAGGCAGCTATCGGCGTGTCTCATTTATGAACATAGAAACTAAATGGGAAATGGAATATTAGCCAAATGGATTTAAAATAATATGTTATTAAGGTTTATCCCAGTAATTCAGTCATCTCCAGCCTCAGAAAAGAGCACTTTTACCATTTTACTTATTTCACATGAGAAAGAAGAGGGATTTTTTGTACAATCGCTGCAAAAAGAGCCACATTTTTTTTTAAGCCTTAACCTTTAATTCACATATCCCACCACATACGCTTTACAATGTACACTTCAGTGATTTTTAATATTTTTAGAGTTGCGCAGCCGTTGCCAGAATCAATGTTAGAACAGTTTCATCACACCCAAAAGAAATTATGCATCTGTTAACAGTTACCCCCCATTTTCCCTCTAGCCCCCCATTTCTCAGCAGGCAACTACCAGTTTACTTTCTGTCTAAATGGATTTGCCTTCTCTGGACATTTCCTACAAATAGAACCATACAATACGTGATCTTTCACTACTGGCTTCTTTCACTTAGCATACTTTTTTCAAGGTGTATCTCTATTGTAATCTGTATCAATTCTTCCTTTTATATTGCTGAATAATATTTCCTTGCATGGATATACCTTATTTTGTTTGTACCTTCGTAAGTTGAGTGACATTTAGTTTGTTGTCACTTTTTAGTTATTGTGAATAATGCTGTTGTGAACATTCGCATGCAAGGTTTCGTGTACGCATTTTCATTTCCCTCAGTTGTATGTCTGGCCTTGCAAATTTGTGAGTCCCTCAGCAACTTTAGGTTTTGTATTTATTTTTTTTTCAGGATTGTTTAGAATATTTGAGGGTTACTGTAAATTGAGCTGCAATAAACAGTCTAGTGCAAGCGTCCTTATGATAAAAGGTTTTTTTTTTTTTTCCCAGTAATGGGATTGCAGGATCAAATGGGAGGCCTTGCTTGAGTTTATTGAGGGTTCTCCATACTTCCTTCCAAAAAGGTAGTATTAGTTTGCAGTCCCACTAGCAGTGTAAAAGTGTTCCTTTCTCTCCAATGGAGACTTTACATCCTTTGTATTAACCTGGATGGAAGTGGAACACATTATTTTTAGTAAAGCATCACAAGAATGGAGCATGAATCCTATGTATTCAATTTTGATATGAGGACAATTATAACCTAGTACACAGTGGGGGTTGGGGGAAAGGAAGAGCAGAGAGAGGGAAGGAGGGATGGGGTGGGGTCTCGGTGTGTGACACACCTCTTGGGGACAAGACACAATTGTAAGAGGGACTTTACCTAACAAAGGCAATCAGTGTAACCTAGTTTCTTGTACACTAAATGAATCCCAACAATAAAAAAAAAAAAAGAATGTCTGAGGGCTCTTGGAATTCCATAGGAATTTTAGGATCTATAGATTACTTTCTACAGAGAAGTCAGCTTGGATTTTTACAGGGATTGCATTGTATCTATAAATCGATTTGGAGAATATCACCATCTTAACAGTGTTCATCTTCATGAATATCAGGTGTCTTTCCATTAATCTTCTTCAATGTATTTCCAAAATGTTTTATAGTTTTCAGCACATAAGTTTTGTACCTTTTTTGTTAAACTTACTGTTAGTTTAAATGTCTTCTTGCTTACAATGGTGTTGCTTTCTTAATTTCATTTTCAGATTGCTCATGGCTGGTGCATAGAAATAGAATTGATGTTTTTTGTATTGATCTTGTAGTCTGTCACACTGTTGAACTTGTTTGGTAATTATAATACTGCAGGATTTTTGATAAAATATATGGAAGTGAGTCTAAATTTCACATAAAAATATGAATAGCTGAGGACTAAGGGGGCTGCTTAAATCCATGTCTCCATAATTTTCCACAATAACATAAAGCTTCAAGAAGAGCAAATAAAACTATGTCCTCAACACAGCTAGAAATGTTTCACATAGTGCGGATAGTCAACACTAAAATTATATAGTCTTTATAAATCCATATAACAAAATAGAAACCCCAGAGAGCTACTTTTTACATTTGGTAAAAGCACAAAGGTACTTCAGCGGGAGAAAGAATAGTCTTTCTGAAATAATTCTGGTATCCCTGTAGAAAAAAATGGACATCGGCCCTCGCCTCTCAACATACACGGAAATAAATTAAAAGAGATAAAGAAATAGACTCTAGACCTTAATATTAAAGCTAAAATTATAAAAATGTCAAACAAAGACAGAGGAAAATATCCGTAAACTGGAAGCAAAGATTTCTTAGGGCACAAAAAGCAAGAATCCCAAAATAAATAATTTTGATAAATTGGATTTCATCAAAATTGACCATTCCTGTTCTTTGAATGAAGCCATTAAAAGAATAAAAGATCACACCATATATTGTAAAAATATATCACAGTTAACTTTTTTAACATGGAAAGTTTTCCCAGAATATTTAGAGAGCTCATTCAGTTACAAAGTAAGGCATCAAATAACTCCATTAAAAATGAACACACATGTTTAATACATGCATATACTTCACAAGAGAAGATGGGCGAATAGCTAATAAGCCCATAAAAGATGCTTAGCATAATTGGTTATCTGAGACATGCCAATTAAAACAAGATTGTTAGGATATTACACAGCTACAAAATGGCTAAATGTAAAAAGACTGATAATACTATCAGGAAGATGTAAAGTAATGGCCCAGCTATTTCACCCTAGATATTCACCAAAGGGGAAAGAATAGGTCTGTATGAAGATGAAGCAGATTCATTCAGAGTAGCCCCAAACCCAGAAATAACCCAATGTCCGTTAAACGTTGAATCACAGATAAAATGTATCTTATTCCTTTACAACGACTACTGATGACTAAAAAATGAATTACTAACACAGGCACCACTGTAATGAATCTTCAGATATTATGCTGAATGCAAAACGTTAGATGTAGAAATACTTATTGTTTCATCTTAGTTACATGCTAGATGAATTTGATCTATATTAATAGAAAGCAGCTCAGCGCATGCGTGAGTTGGACCAGGGGGCTGAGGTGTCCGGGAAGTGGCACAGAAGCACTTTTTGAGGTTGTAGACATTTTCTGTATCTTGAATGTGGTGGTCCTAAAACGGATGTATACATGTGGCAAATGTAAATTAATCAAGTTACATTTAATGTAATTTATAGCTCATATGTCATGTGTTGCATTTAAATATTTATCACATTCTTCTGGGTTCTTACATCGAGTTACTGGAAACTATGACGGTGCTATTCAGATAATGATGGTTTACGTTTATCAGTCCTACAAATGCCAGATTTTCCACACAGCATAATCCACAAATCCCAAGATATCTGGAAAATAGCAAAAATAAGAAGAAGAGGGGATTCTTAGGCATCTTTAAGTCAGGGGAAAGTTTAGGTGCCAGAGTGTCACAGTGGAGTGACATTTACTTTGTTAAAATAATTTACTCTAAAACAAATTAAATACGCCCAGATGTCTTTCTTTCAATGTCACTATTCATTCATAATTGATCAAAATATAACTGTTTGTAATACATGCTTATAATATGAAGAATGTTTTCTCCAAGCCTTATTTTTCATATTCCGTATTCTTATTCTTTTCACAGTTCCAGAAAAGCCTCTGAATTTTGCCTGTCAGAATATAAATGCAGAGAGCGTCCACATATCCTGGAGTCCCCTTCAAAATAAATTTGATGGTTTTATTCTCTGTTATCAGAACAAGTCAGGTAATTTGTACAGCATTTAATTTCATATCAGGAAATAGATAATCAAGAATCTGAAAGTACTAGAAATGTGGATTGAGGCATTGAGCCCTTGAGCTCCACACAGAGACTGTGCATAACTTATGCCTTGATATTAGAACTGCTTTCATTCCCTGAGGGCTTTCCAGCTGGGAAAGGACTAAAATTCAGAACATTCCCAGTATTTGCTTCATCTTTCTTGATCTTCGCTTCCATCTTTGTACGCCAAAGCCTCGAGAAAGAAATTCCCTAGAAGATAATACTCCTTTATATCTTGCAAATATATAGGAGTGATTTGTCTTGCTAAACACACAAACAAGCAAAGATTTTGCAAAACTTGTTCCAGTGAATACACATGAAATATTGGGGGAATAAAAATGAATGTGGACTCGGTTAGCCACTGAGGCCAGTTTGGGGCAATCTTGAAACATAGTTTAGAAATTTGACTCCTGCAAAAGAAAGTGCAGTCAAAACCTGCTGTGACTAGTTCAGCCATGAGACCATCACATGAGAGGCTGGTTAAGAGAACAGACATCTCTCGGACAACGTAAAGTATCTGAAACCTTTGTAGAAAATGGTGAACATCCGTGGAAAGCTTACAGTAGCCTCAGCAGCTGGGTAGCCCTCTCTCTGAGTCTCCACTCACAGGTTACAGCAGGAATAAACTGAGCATTCCAAAGAAGTCCATTGCTAGAAAGGGTGGGAAGGAGTCACCCATCAACTTCAAAAATTGAAAAGCAAACAACTATTTGCTTCAGCATGCTATTTTAAATTCTGCTCAAATTGCTTTCTCTAGTTGTTTGAGTCTAAATAATCAAACTACAAAAGCAAAGTTAAATACACATGTTTTCAACTTAGCAGAAGAGGATTCAAATGCTACAATATATACAATATATTTGAAGAAATACATATGTAATCTACTTGAGGTTATGGTAATTTTCAAAGTTAAATGTCCAAGAAAGGAAAATGGAAATCTTAGGAAGATAAAACAGGAGGAGGATTCGATCCTCTCCACCTCATCGCATGCTTCTACAAAGTCTCTGTGCCGGGCTGCTGTAGAACACATTGCTTGGTCTTCTGAATCTTCCACTCACTATCTCCTCAGTTTCCACACCCTCTCCACTGCAGAGCGCTTTTTATGCCAGTTTCTATGGTGGTGATCAGGTATGGTTACTGATCCTTGGTCAGTTTTTAAATGAACCTGTATTTGGACTGTGATTGCATAATTAAGGTATAATTAGTTACTTGTTAGCAGTCTGATGAGTTTTGTTTGTAACTAGTAAGGCTCCTTTTTATTTGTTACACACAGTTAGTAGCTGTGCAGTTATAACGCTGGAGTGGGATTGGCGGCAGGGAGAAGGCAAGGCTGGAGTCTTTTTCTACAAAATTGCCCATTAGTGACTGATTCCAGCTCCAGATCAAGTGCTGACTCTGTTTCATGTGCTCCGTGGAGCCAGCTCTCCCCTACACAGAAATGTGTTCTGGCTTTGGTGTCTATTCATCTCAAACATGTATCATAATTCAATTTTCCCCTATTTTAGTTCAAGGAGAGTTGATGGAGTAATAGGATTGTTAGAGCAATCATTTTAAGTACACTTCTTTTTTTTTTTTGCCATTTTTGGCCGGGGTTGGGTTTGAACCCACCACCTCCGGTATATTGGGTATACGCCCTACTCCTTGAGTCACAGGCACTGCCCCTTGAAGTACCCTTCTTATTTCACATTAACTCACTATTAAAATCCACAAAAAGTCTGTGACACTTGCATTTCATATTACTTTTTAATCAGATATTAAATTCCATTTTGTTATTGTATCATCTAAATATCTTAGGGTCTCTGAAAGCCAGCAATTAAAAGAAGTAAAGAAAGTAATCAGCATTTATTTAATAGCCTTGGTTTATCAAGTATTTTTAAAATATGTTGTTTAAGAATTTTATTATATATTTTAGTAATAACTCTCAGAGAAGTACATACAGATCTTCATAGTTCATATGATACAACTGAAGTCAACAGACTATTTTGTAAAATGTTCACCAGCTTGAACTATTCTCTTTTCTGCTCCTGTTTTTTCTATGTTTTTAGCATATCTCAAGGAACTGCAGTTTTGTGTCATTAACTTAATAATGCCAAGTGACAAGGAAGCTTTCTCGATAAGTAGGGATTACTGAGTTCATCATTGGGTCAATGATGCATTCAGAGGACTATCTTTCAAAAGTTATCAAAACCAGTGTGCATCCTTCGAGACCATGATATTGTTTGGAATTATTTTGTGTCATGCATTTTTAGAGGGAAAAACTACCTTTATTATTATTATCATTTGCAATACAAAACCATTTTGGGATAAACAAGTTGATAGTATTTGAATGCGTTTTAGAGCTGTCTAAAGCAGGACATGGTTAATGGATTTCCTGAGGTATTTTCTAAAACACAAGAGGTGACAAGTGGAGATGCCAGTGAGAATCTCTTCAGGCCTTCCCAGTGCCACACACGTGACCTGAACACATGTCCCGGTTGACCTGAGGGAAAACCATTCAAGCATCCAGTCCAATAGGTTTATAATTTGTCCCACACAACTTGTGCTCTGATGTCAGAGTCTTCGGGAAAAAAAAAAATGTTTGAACATGTGGCGGTGGAAAGAATGTTCGTGTACAGGGTGGACCTAAATTAAAATGATAGTTTACTGGTTTCAATTGCGCACAGACTTTATGTCCACCCTACATTTTGGCTTTTTAACTAAAGCTTGAACTCATTCGCAATTTGTAAATGAGCATTCCAAACCACTTTTCTAAGCGCGAAAAACGTTAACGAATTATGGCTTACAAAAAAAAATCCCTGAACAACAATATCTTTTGAACAATGCATTGTTCAAAAATAAAATTGACAATTTACTTCTGTCGGATTGGCTAAAATAAAAGCTTCATAGAACTACACAAAATGTCATTTGTTTTGATGCAGAATGGTTATGAGATTTCATATGCAAACATACAAAATCAGGTCACTGAATGCAAGCCAGGTGGAGCTGGAGAGGAACATCTGACACTTGGATTTTGTCCCGGTCACAACGTGGGCATTGTCCTAGAAGTCAGACTCATAAGGAGCTGGCAGAAGCCTTACTCAGAGGAGGCCGCTGCCCTTCTCTTCCTTTCCTGCCCTTAAAGACAATTGTCACTGGAGGTCCCGCAGAACTGAACTAGCAAGTATAAATCAATTCACCCAGCACAGGATTTGTGATAAATAGACAATTTCAATGAGCCTGGAACGGCCACTTGATCTCACGTATTGTTTAGAATTCCAAGGCGATGTAGAGATCTCCACTTTATAGAGATCAGACGAGAGATGAGCGGGTGTTACAGCTTTCCCTACTGAGCTCCTGCAAGCCCTTAGGTATGTCTCGCTGTCCCAGAAGAGAGGGGACCAAGTGGAAGACAAAGTGTGGCCCCACTGCGGGTCCTTGCTCCCTCTTCCACACCACATAGTGCTGTGGGGAAAACTAGACTGTGGACTCTACAACGTTACTGCCTGGATTCCACCCTGGTTTCCTTCTTCATTTCCTGGGAGGTCATGCACAGGTTGCTCTCTGAAGCTCAGTTTTCCCATCTGTAAAATCAGGTAATTCCAAGAATGCCAATTTACAGTTAAAGCAGTGCCTAAATTAACTAATTCATGCATACCCCTTGAAACAGTGCTTGACACATGGAGTGAGTTATTCATTTTTAAAATCATCATTGGTATTATTATTATCACCCTAACTGTGCTCTGGTAACCTGCTGCTGCTGTAATCCACCTTTAACCTGTCTTCCTTGATGTCACTTGGTGACACCTAAATAGTCAGTAGGTCAGGGATCTTTTTTTCACTTAACAAATGTGAATTTTTCTCACCTAATGTTAAATAAAACACATTTAAACAAGGTCCTGCCTCTTAGCCAGAATCTGCTGCCTTCATCAGATTTGTCTCTAAACTTAAAACTCTCCTTTATGTGTAAGGTTTTCTCTTCTCCCTTACGCCGATTCAGTTTCACTCACCTTCCAGGGAATAGCTCAGATTCAGAAAAAGTTCCCGAAAAATCATCATTCTGAAACACCACAAGTTAAGACTTTTACAGTATCTGGTGGAGGCTGAGTTATATCAGAAAGAAAAGAAATCATCTTCACAAGTTCAGACACTTGTGCCACATTCATGATAGGAAGCCAAAGTACTTGAACGTTTATTGATAATAATTGAGTTTGTACAATAGCATTTGCTCATAATTGTGTGCACTTCTCAGTGTGAAAGACACACTCATTCCTCAATCACTCATTAGTTATGAGTCTGCTTGGCATGATACTCTGTAGAGACCAAATTACGTAGGTAATCCGGACTCTGAATGACTTACTAAATTTTTTCACTTTTTTCCTAAGAAAAAAACAAGGAAAAGTGCTTCGATCCGAATACGAATGGGGACAGATATGATTTGGAAAATTTGAAACCTTTCACAGACTATTCTGTGTCATTACTGGCCTACAACGAAGGGAAAGTGAGGCGTCACGGACCGGCTAGCACGTGTGAATTTAAAACAAATGCATCACGTAAGTTCTGTGCTCCAAGGCTTCCTTTCACAAGGGGAAATAGGCAAAATATGAACATTTTAGCCTAAAATACATCTATCTTTATGTTTCATTTGAGAAGCATATGAACCGGGCACATTTGTAAGCATCTAGAAAATATAGTCATTTAAAATAAAACAACTTAAAAACTGCAATCCTGGCTGGTCTGTATTCTTCAGATATAGCTGTAGGGTTGTAAGGCATGAAGCAAAAGGGCACATTAACTGGTCCAATTTCTAAGATTTTGGAAAATTAGGTTCCTAACTGACCTAGATAAAAAATGCATTGTTGGGCGGCACCTGTGGCTCAGGGAGTAGGGCGCCAGCCCCATATACTGAGTTTGGTGGGTTCGAACCTGGTCCAGCCAAACTGCACC